TGATTGCCCGACATCCATCTACCCCCACCGACAGAAGGTGTAGAAACTCCACGGGAATCCAGCCCCTCTGGACGTTCGACAGAGAATGAACACACGCGCTGCTCACTGCTAGCGGATATAATGGCTTTCTAATTGCGCGGCGCGCCAGCTGATTTCGTGCGGAACTGCGAAATTAAGAGACAGCGGAAGGAAAGCGAGAGGGCGGCGATAGCGGCCATCATGAATAAAAAGGACCCTGGTATTTGAAAACTGTGGCTGTCTGCTCGGTGATCGAATTGACCTGTGGGTGATGGACTATGAAAAGTATTCGTTTCTTACAGGTGACGCGAGCCAGAGATATTAATCTTTAAGATTTAATCTCTAAGATTTAAAATCTCTCTAAAATCTCTAAGATTTAATCTTCCTTTGATAATTGCACTACTATGGCCAGACAGCGGATTTGATGCGTTTATAAGACAAATTAGTAGATGAAACGCAAAATTGTGACACTATTATAATATATAATAATATATAATAATATAATATATGTTATATAATCATTTATATATAATATAATAATTTGATTATAATATATATAATAATATAATATAATAATATATACATAATATATATTAATTTGATATATATAATAATATATAATAATTTGATTATATTACTTATATCTCTCATTAAAATGATTCAAGGCAGGAATAAATGTTAATCCAGTCCTTGTGTTTCTTGAAATTAATGCGTAACATTTGTATCTTGCATAAAGATTCGCAGTCTAACTATGAGTGTTCTCAATTGTTTTTTATTCTATATTGTATCTTCTGATTTTTGTTGCTAATGCATAATTGATGCGTTTCTGGGTTTAAAAATGTAATTGTAGAATCCCATAGCGAAGAGACATTGGAGAAGTTGTTCTGAACAAACGTTGCGAGACATTAAGACTGACTTTTAATTGAACAATTAATTGTTCAGTAAGCGTTTCAGTTACGTTAAAGTATCATAAAAGATCCTGCAGTGTTCAAATCTAACTATGACTGTTCTTAATTGTTTTTTATTCTATATTGTATCTCCTCATTGTTGTTGCTAATGCATGATTGATGCGTTTCTGGTTTCAAAAATGTAATTGTACGATTCCATAGCAAAGAGACATTTGAGCCGTTTATTCTGAAAGTGGCATAAGTCACTTTACCGTAACGAAAAGTGGTGATTTTTTAATGTTTATACGAAATTATTTATACCGATATATTATTTTGAAACGTGTTAAAACGCAAACCCTTAAATATATCGACTTAAAAACAAAATGACTTATGCCACTTTCAAAATAAACCGCTCATTTGGAGAAGTTGTTCTAAACTGACTGACTTTCAATTGAACAATTAATTGTTCAGTAAGCATACATTTAAAGTATCACAAAAGATTCTGCAGTGTTCAGATCTAGAAATCCCAGATTTAGGATAAAACCGGGAACGTGCATCATCGAAGTTGCTATTCAAACGTAGTATTCTATGAATAATACAAAAGCACACCACCGGAACGTAACTCTTGCAAATTACGTTATCGTACCGCCAGTTGTCAAATAAGAAGCTTCGTAGCACAACGTTCGACATTCCCAACGAAGATGGGGAGAATCGTGCCAGAAGACCAATGGGGATTCATTATTACAAAGCACGGACATACGCGACTCGATTCTCCCGTTACGATCGAATAATGCAAAGGCGGNTAATGTTTATACGAAATTATTTATACCGATATATTATTTTGAAACGTGTTAAAACGCAAACCCTTAAATATATCGACTTAAAAACAAAATGACTTATGCCACTTTCAAAATAAACCGCTCATTTGGAGAAGTTGTTCTAAACTGACTGACTTTCAATTGAACAATTAATTGTTCAGTAAGCATACATTTAAAGTATCACAAAAGATTCTGCAGTGTTCAGATCTAGAAATCCCAGATTTAGGATAAAACCGGGAACGTGCATCATCGAAGTTGCTATTCAAACGTAGTATTCTATGAATAATACAAAAGCACACCACCGGAACGTAACTCTTGCAAATTACGTTATCGTACCGCCAGTTGTCAAATAAGAAGCTTCGTAGCACAACGTTCGACATTCCCAACGAAGATGGGGAGAATCGTGCCAGAAGACCAATGGGGATTCATTATTACAAAGCACGGACATACGCGACTCGATTCTCCCGTTACGATCGAATAATGCAAAGGCGGAAAGAAGTTTCGGTACCGATAAATCCGATCGGCGATACGCGTCGTTCGCGGATGGGATAATGGATCGGATGCAATCGGCTGCGGAAGATACATCGGCCAGAGATTCGCGACGCCAATTGTCGGCGGTGGCTGTCGTCGGCCGCGTCGTGGAAAAGGGAGCACAGAAGGTCGCAAGAAGTTACGGCGTCCAGACGGCGAGGGGTGTTTCCGGCAACGGGGAGGGGGGGGGGGGCTGGCAGCGCGAGATTTTTCGGAAATTGACCGTAAACGACCGGGTCAATTTACGCTCGCCGGCGAAAGTGACGGCTGGGTTCTCCTGAATCGATGCGAGACGTCCGCCGCCCACGGAGGGTGGCAGAAAAATGGGAATTTAAACGACCTCCGCCACGCGAGCTTTCTAGAATCTTAATTGGAGCAGAAGACAAAGGCGAGCGGGGATTGCGAGAGGGAAAATTACGCTCGGCGTTCGGAAGCGTCTGGAAAAACAGCCGGAGTCCCTCGTAACGAACGGCTCGCGAAGACAAACGGAGGCGACGCGATTCCGCGAGTCAATTTACATCCGTAATGGCGACTTCCGAGATCGCGGGAGCGTGATTCGCGATTCATTGGACCGCTGTAAACTCGTCGGCGGCAACGTTTCGACGGCCGGGTCCCGACCGCGTCCATTTTCGAGGAGTTAATATTCAAAATGAACATTACAGCGAGGGGCCCGGGCTACCGTTAATCTTCGATGGCATGCGGGACCACTCACGGCGCGCCGCAGCTCGCTTTATCGTGCTCGCGTTAATTATGCAAATGAATAATTAGCATTTCGATTATTTCGAACGACGCCACCTACTCCGGACCAGCCGAAAATTTATCGGCTCCCCTCCCTTCTCAGCGCGCGAATCCGTCGATCGTCCCTCTTTCTCTGGTCGTCGGATGTTTCTTCGGCTTCGACGCGGCGGCCTCGTGAAGCTGTCGTCACGGCTATTAATATTAAACTAGACGATAAGTTACGACGCGTGCCGGTTTCGGACCGGTCGATTCGTCGGCGAGCAAGCCGCCTCGTAAAACACGCGAGAGATTTCATAATGAAGACGCCGGGAGGCGGAGCGCGATGTCGCGAATACGAGGAACGTCGAACCCTGAAGAGAAACTCCGGCCGACGCGACGGGACTCGTTCGACGGTCAGGCCGTCGGATTCGCCGGAAAAGAAGCCTGCTACAAGCGTACCGACGGATCGGGTGCCTACGAATATTAATCGGGTCGAATTTACAGCGAGAGCCCGGTTCCACGAATCCCCGACGATTGATCAATGCGAGAGGCGAATCGACTCGACTGCAGAAATAAACTGTTAGTCTTATGAATATATTCATACCCGGGTTCATCAATATTCAAAACCTACTTTCCCGGCTGCCCTTAAATCCACTGAAATCGGATGTGCCGGGATCGCGGCCGACGGGGGCCAACCGATTCACGGTTTCTCATCGTAAAAGTTTACGATCGCACGATTTCCGTCGGAAGACTGAGAAAATGGGATGCTCCGATTCCGTCGACAGATCTCTCGATGACCTATCGGGTCGGGCGAGCTCCGCGGAACATCGATTTGCTCGGGGTTCGAAACGTGGAAGAGCGCACCTGCTCGGCGAACAAAGGTCCCGAACCGACCGATCGCGATCTCGTCCGCCGGCTGCGCCGGTTCGACGTGTTCTCGCGAATTCGATGTCCGCTTGGACCGATTCCAATTCCGTTTCTGCCCCTTTCTCTTTCGCCTATCATTGCCTGTTGCATCATTTCGAGGCGGTCACGGGCCCCCGAACGTGAGATGCGTCCCGAGGGTCCGCGAAAGAACCGCTTCGCGAACCAGCCCACGTCTCGATTCGGAGGATCTACGGTGGCCCCGGCAAATAGATCACTCCGCTAATGGATGGCCTGGCCGCCTCTCTCTCTCTCCCCCGATATTCCCGGTGCCCGCCACGACCGGCGCCCCGGGCAGGAAATTAGCAAGTCTTAAGAGAGAGATCCCCCGCGAGAGTTAATCGTCGGGCCGATTTCTGCGGCGTCGCTTTCGGACAATTTGCCACGGCGAGATTTCATTTGTCCCGGCTCCCTTTCGCGCGGCACGGCTCCACGGCCTGCTTCTTGCCACCCCTTCGAGGGTCTCTTCCCGCTAATCCACCTTATTCGCTCTTCATCTTCGCCGACCTCCTTCGATCTCCCGCCCCGAACGATTCCGCCGCGGCTTAGCGGATTAATCGATGTTATCCCGAGTGTTCCGGACCCCGAAAACCGTGGAAACGTCGGTCGACTCGAGAGTCCCGGGCCCCCATTCACGTCGAACGGAGAACGAAATCAGATTCCGGCTCGACGGCCGTCGGCTCGCGAACAATAAGTCGGATTAAGGGAGGCCTGCTCCGAACGAAGCGACACGCGGCTCCGCCGATCGACGATCCAGTCGACGATCGAGGATGCGTCCGAGGAGGCTTTACGACCGATCTTGTTTCCCGGGACTTTCGGAGCACCAGGGGCCCGCGACCCTTTCTCTAATCTAGCCGGACCCGAAGTCTCCCGAGAAGCCATTTTAGAATTGCGCGAGATGTACGTTATCTAGGAACGCACCCGTTCCTCGTAGAAAGCTATCAAAAATTTCTGAGAATCTCAAAGAAGAATACCGACTAAATTTTTGGAACGATTCATATCTCACGACACCAAGCATCACCAATTTCCCAGACCGCAGGGGGCTCGATTCACGTGGCGAGTTCACGTCACTCGGAGCGCGGTGTAAAATCTGCAGAATGCTCACCTCAGATACCGCACCGCGAACCCGCGTACGTCGATCAGGAACGGAACGAGCACACACCGAACAGCACGTAAAAAATCATCGATCACAGACCGGCTCCTGGATGTTCCCGCCTTTTCCGGGGGTCTCGTATAAAACGGCGCACTGGATCACCTCCGGGCCGCACGTGCGGCATGTACGAAACGCACTGTGTCCTATCAACTGATACTATCTTTCAATAAAAAAGAAGAAAAAGAGAAGAAAAACGGAGCCCACCGGAACTGTGGAAAGAAAAAAGGAAAGGGGGCAACAACGGTCACACGCGGTTCGTCCGCAGTCACTGCGCGGCTGCCGGTCACTGATTATCTTTGCAGTTTAGGTGCGTTTCGCGCGGACGGGTCCGTTCGGAGCTGGGCCCCCATTGGGTGCGAGACACGTTCCGCGAGGCGAACGATATCAACCAAAAACAACGTACCAACCTACACCGTACCGTCACGGCGCCACGGCACTAACTGACAGGCTGACGAGAACCTCCAGTTGCTCGTTGGTGGGAAGCCGGCGGGGCGAGGAGCGCGACGGCAGTGTAACACCGTCTCTGTTCCACCGCGCGGAGGCTCGGCTCTCTCTCGCGTTCAGCCTCCTCCTGTCTCGCTTCCTCGCGTTCTATTGCCACCTAGTGGCGGTCTCGCAAACTCGTTCTCTCCGGTACGGGCCTCCACCTCCCTTTCGGCGAACGGGTCGGTGGGGGTGAAACGAGCACGTGGACCCGCTAAAGAGGGAGGTCCGAGCCGGCCGGCGGTGGGGGGAACAGGGCAACCCCGGCTTGCTTCGGGGGTGAGGTTGCAAAATATGTTGTAGAAATGGGGTGGCCGATGAATGCGGTCGCCCGTAGACTAGGGATTTTATTGATCTTTTTTCCAACCCCACGCGAACGGGGGTCGGGGGAGGGCCCCGTGTGCACTCGCGCACGCTTAATTAAGCGGCCGGACTTACGTCGCGTGTGTATATGTGCCGCCGCGCCGTGCCTTCGTGCCTCTCCACGGGCTCGCGCTGCCTGGGCTGTTTCGACGATCGGCCGGAATCCCGGTCGATCGATCGATTTGCGGTAAGTTCGACCCATTGAAATTAAACGAACCAGGACCGGCTCCGGTGACTATCAATGTCTCGATTGAATTTCCCTGGGTCGCGCCTGACGCGAGACTATGGTCCCCCATCGATATGCGATCTCTTGTTGTTGTGCCGGTATCAATTTGCACTAGGCTCTTCTTGTTTCTGCAGTTCTGCGGAGTTTCTGCAATTTGCACGGTAGATTTGGCTCCTTAACCAGTTAGCCGTGGCGCCGCCTTTTCGGACCGCGCGCCTATACGTGTCGCGAGAATCGAGCGATGGCGAGAGTGTACCTCGTCAAATATAGATTAAGTGTCGTTATTCAGATGTTGGATCAAAAAGACTTTTATTTTGAAAGAGGGTTTATTCGATAAGATTAACGATTTTGTTAGTAATATTTACTTATTCACTTAACATTAACATATATTACATACATAATAAGTGAGAAATGCTGGAAAAATCAAGTACTATTAAACTATACTATTAAATACTGTTAAATATTATTCAACACTGTTAAATACTATTTAATACTATTAAATACTATTTAATACTATTATATATATATAAATACTATATTATACTATTAAATACTATTATTATATTAAATACTATTACATACTATTAAATACTATTTAACTCATAAAAGTTAAAAATTCGAATTGCTTACTATTAACATCTTGAAATTCGAGAATATGTTTTTGTTTTCACTAAAATTACAATTTAAATAGTCAATGGTCTCTACATTTAATGCACGACGTGTATACTCATCATTACACAAAATACTACCACTTCTCCGTGACGAGTATACTCGTCAAACACAGCTAACTGGTTAATTGGGTCTGCTCGGGGATGCATTCATATATAGGGAGCCGTTTAAAGCAAAAATGGTAGCAGTCAATTTTTTGCTAGATTGACTAAAAACCATCGTTTGCGAGCTCAACCTTCATTTTGTTTCGTGTCGAAGTTATACAGGTGTATTTCCATTGGTTTCTCCATGTGAATAATAGAACGAATAAGAACCATCCACTCGAATAGCGTAGGAAACTTTTAGCTCATACTTCGGTATTCACAATCCAACTTTCTTGACTAACACCATCTCTGCTTTCAACGGCTCATATCCTGCCACATGCTACGCATTGCGTTATAAATTCAAGAAGGCACTGCAACTGCATCGATAGGCACTTGTTCTATGAGAGACATTGACCTTGCGCTATGCAAGTTGTGTTAAAACTAAATTGTTATTCTTCTCGGTCCGTTTAACTTTTTCGAGCACGATCAATTGTTATTGTAGTTCTTCTTTCGAATCAATATGGTATCACGTTTTTTACTCGCTTCAATTATGCAAGTAGAAAAACAGGTTTGGATACACTTAGGTTATCAGACCTGATTTACATCAGAATAATATGCTTGGACGTATCGTTCTCCGATTCTTCGTGAAACCGTCTTTGTAACTTCGCTAAATGTTGGAATTTGTAATTGTTTATTTACTAATAATGCGATACAAATATAACACAGTGATTTAAAAAAACACCTAGCGGATATAAAATGTACTTTATGCGAAGAAGAGTAACTGTATGTGAAGTCGCGGAGATACTGTCTGTCTGATCGTCTTCTAAGCTGATGAACGCCTCTGTAGTTCTATGGGAAGTGTCTTGAACTGGAACGTGCAGTCCTTTTATACTAAGTTCTTTAGATGCGATTAGGCTGCCCTCTCCACTATTCCTTTAGGTAAATTCCAGGTAAATGAGAGTCCTAATGTATACGTGTTTCCCCGAGAAGCTCGGGCTTGCACCTGAATTTATTGCCCCTATGTAGACATGTGTGTGTGTGGGTGCGTGTGTGAGTATCGTTGTATATACCAACATTTATTATTAACATGTCAAGATTATTTATTAGAACAAATTGAATTTTATTGGGATGCTGAGAAGTAAAAAAAAATAAAAGATGGCATCCACTACGATACGCATTGATTTGTAAGAATTTGTAGAGTTAATTTTCGGCATTGAACTGTCAACCGTAGACATTCGACTATCAACGAGTTAATAGTAAAACCAGTAGAATTCAGCTATTTATTATCAGATTTTTATGGTTTATAGAATCTTTAATTTGACCACGAACAAATCTTTTGCTTCGATGAAGGAGATCTTGGACATACCCTTGGCAGCATTGCCTCTAACGCAAAAGAACGGCGAGTACAGATCGATGACCCATTGACACGGTCTAACGCGTTTAATTTTCTACTAATTCTTGTTGGAAGCTAAGCACACGAGCCTCTAGTAAAGAGAATTTATGCATTGATAATTCCAGGTCGATCATGTAATGTCCTAATGTCCCAATGAGTCCTAATGTATACGTGTTTCCCCGAGAAGCCCGGGCTTGCACCTGCATTTATGAAGCTCGGGCTTGTACCTGTATTTATTGCCCCTATGTATGCATGTGTGTGTATGTGTGTGAGTATCGTTGTACATACCAACACTAAATGTAGGACAAAAATCTGGGACAGACGACGGCAGGCTTAAATCGGTACGGTAAAAATCTGAAGGTAACAGGAAACGAACGGGCGCAGAATTAATTTCTACATTGATTTCCAGCAGAAGCACAGTTGTTCGGAGGGAAACGGTAACGAGAACGTATCGATCGTCGAGCAGGCGTTAGCGGGGGTCGATGTAAATCATAAATAAAACGGAAAGTAACCGGGCTATATTAATCATATATCCGTAGGGAGAGGTCGATCCTTAATCCCGTGCTGATCAATTCCCGGGCCTTCGTCGTTCACGAGGATTTATCGTTGTCGTAGCCCTAAAGGCCCATAAAATCGCGCGAATTGTAAGATATTGTGTCTTGTCAGTTTCGGGCTTCGACTCGTTCGATCGCGGTGGGGGCACCCGCGAGCCGTCGAGATTCGGATTAATGTTTATGGCGCCCCAGAGTACACCGTGGAATTCCCGGCCCGGACGGCGAGTGTATAACAACCTGACAAGTATTAAGAATCGATACCCGCGGCCTCGCGTTTTATGACTTATCGCCGCGGCGTTGAAACGTTTCGGCGAGGAGCGAACGTATTTCGGCGTCGTCGCCGATCTGCTCGGCTCGAACGTCCGATAATTAACCGGAGGTGAGGGTTGGTCGAAGACGATTTCACGGTGGAGCAGGAATCGGGCGGATGTTGAAACTTCGAGCCCGATCGGCGAATCCATTTCCGCGTCAATCACGGAATAAACACGATTAATCGTTTCGGACAACTTTGTCCCCCGAAGTTTCCGATGCCGCGCAGGGACGCGACTCCTCCGCTCGGCATCGGCTCCGGCTCCGGCACCGGCTCCGGCACCGGCACCGGCATCGGCGCGACGAGACGCGACGAGCCTTAAAGTGGATTTACTCGATCCGAATGTATTACCGGCTGGGGGTCGAGAAGCAGCTACTCCGCTCAAAGAGTTCGCCGACTGAAAGCGTGCGCTAATTAGCGATTCGATCACGAAGCATCCGATGCCGGGAGACAACGTCGCCGCCTTCGCTGGTTTCTCTTTGATCCCTCTTCATCTCCGTTTCATTCTCTCGCCCTCTTTGCTATCCTTTCGCAACGATTCCCGTTCACGCGGCTACGCGCGCGGTGGGACGCATGCACGAGGCTGTGACGGAAGGTGCAAGGTGCACGCGTGATCGTAACAGAGGTTCAAAGGAGAAATTAGCAAAGCCGAGGTAGCGTGGCGCTTTTGAAGCTTGCAATTTCCCTACTGAAAATGTCCTGAGAACCCTACACCGGCGTATAGGCTGCGTGTACGCGGACAACGGGGCAGAGAAGAGTTTACGACCCCCCCCGCGCTTCTTTTTCTCCTTCTCTTTCGCATCGGGAAACGCGTCCGATGGATAGGTATCGCTGACAAGCGTATCGCGATAAAAAAGGGTTCGACGAGGAAAAAGGATTCCGGTCCGCGGGTACAAATTAACCGGTGATTGCGAGACCCTTTACGACGCCACCGACGAAGAAGAGGATCAGAGATTCCCCTCTGTGGTCCAACAATTTCTCCGTCTCTCTCTCTCCTCTCCTTCCCTATCTCTCCGCGCTACTCTTCCCTCCGCGCCGGATCCTGTCCCCGGACCAATCCTGGCGCAAACCGGGGGGGAGAAGGACATGCGCCCGCAGACAAGAGATCTAATATACCCGACGGTTACATTAGCCGGATTTAATTTAAGCCTCGACCCCACCGCGCCTAGCGTGAAGCTTAGCATTCGACCTACCGCGGGCGAGAATACTCGCTGAAATCGAGAGAAAGGAAGAGCGGAAGGTGAAACAGCGGGCGTCGACAGACGGTGGCGTGCCGGTAGCGAGACGCTGCCAGTTTATTGTAATTGCACTGTCGCGCGAGAGTACCCCGCTCCCACGGACACAGAGAGCCCCGGTAGTCGCGCTAATGCCCG